CTGGATTCACTCCCTATGAGCTCATCACTAGAAGGCAGTTCCCAGGACCAGCCTCTAAGCTATCATGGGCCCCAGGTAAGCCAGACACACACAACACCCAACACTTGTATGAACAACTAAAATCTCTTGTTCACAGCTTCACCAGCCTAACTACTGTCCCTACCTCCCCAGGCGCCCATACTGATCCACACACGGCTGAGTGGGTCCTGTTGAAAGTGATCAAACGGAAGCAGAGTGAGCCATGGTGGACTGGACCCTACAAGGTGGTTGAGAGGACGTCACATGCCGTCCGCCTGCAGGGCAAAGGAGAGACGTGGTACCACTGGAGCCAGTGTGCCCCGGCTGAGACACCAACAAGACCCCTGATAAGGGTCCATGCAGATCTAGAACAGGTGAGAAAAGGGGCAGAATAATCCCCTCACCTGTGAGACACACAGGTAGTATACCCTGATTGTGTTGAAGACGACATACCAGGAAGAGAAGTAGACGACAGGCTGGACCCAGTTGAGGATGAGGACCTGTACTGTCAGGCCATCCAACAGTACCGGGACAGAGACACTTACACTAGAACTCCACCAGTGCCCCGATTAAGCTTTATTACTGCATGGGACAGCACTGATGTGTTTGACGAACCACATGGCCCAGTAGTGGTGCCCCTAATAGTGGCCTGCCACATAGAATCACAGTACACAGTATATCACAGAAGTGAGTACACCCCCTCACATTTTGTAAATATTTAAGTATATCTTTTCATGTGACAACACTGAAGAAATGACACTAGGCTACAATGTAAAGTAGTGAGTCTACAGCTTGTATAACAGTGTAAATGTGCTGTCCCCTCAAAATAACGCAACACACAGCCATTAATGTCTAAACTGCTGGCAACAAAAGTGAGTACACCCCTAAGTGATAATGGCCAAATGGGGCCCAAGTAGCCGTTTTCCCTCCCTGGTGTCATGTGACTCGTCAGTGGTACAAGGTCTTAGGTGTGAAGGAGGAGCAGGTGTGTTAAATTTAGTGTTATCACTCTCACTCTCTCATACTAGTCACTAGAAGTTCAACATGGCACCTCATGGCAATGAACTCTCTGAGGATCTGAAAAAACGAATTGTTGCTCTACATAAAGATGGCCTAGGCTATAAGAAGATTGCCAAGACCCTGAAACTGAGCTGCAGCACGGTGGCCAAGACCATACAGCGGTTTAACAGGACAGGTTCCACTCAGAACAGGCCTCGCTGTGGTCGACCAAGGAAGTTGTGTGCCCGTGCTCAGCGTCATATCCAGAGGATGGCTTTGGGAAATAGGCGTATGAGTGCTGCCAGCATTGCTGCAGAGGTTGAAGGGGTGGGGGGTCAGCCTGTCAGCGCTCAGACCATACGCCGCACGCTGCATCAAATTGGTCTGCAAGGCTGTCGTCCCAGAAGGAAGCCTCTTCTAAAGATGATGCACAAGAAAGCCCGCAAACGGTTTGCTGCAGACAAGCAGACTAAGGATATGGATTTCTGGAACCATGTCCTGTGGTCCGATGAGACCAAGATAAACTTATTTGGTTCAGATGGTGTCAAGTGTGTGTGGCGGCAACCAGGTGAAGAGTACAAAGACAAGTGTGTCTTGCCTACAGTCAAGTATGGTGGTGGGAATGTCATGGTCTGGGGCTGCATGAGTGCTGCCGGCACTGGGGAGCTACAGTTCATTGAGGGAACCATGAATGCCAACATGTACTGTGACATACTGAAGCAGAGCATGATTCCTTCCCTTTGGAGACTGGGTCGCAGGGCAGTATTCCAACACGATAACGACCCCAAACACACCTCCAAAATGACCACTGCCTTGTTAAAGAAGCTAAGGGTAAAGGTGATGGACTGGCCAAGCATGTCTCCAGACCTAAACCCTATTGAGCATCTGTGGGGCATCCTGAAACGGAAGGTGGAGGTGCGCAAGGTCTCTAACATCCACCAGCTCCGTGACGTCATCATGGAGGAGTGGAAGAGGATTCCAGTGGCAACCTGTGAAGCTCTGGTGAACTCTATGCCCAAGAGGGTTAAGGCAGTGCTGGAAAATAATGGTGGCCACACAAAATATTGACACTTTGGGCCCCATTTGGCCATTATCACTTAGGGGTGTACTCACTTTTGTTGCCAGCACTTTAGACATTAATGGCTGTGTGTTGCGTTATTTTGAGGGGACAGCACATTTACACTGTTATACAAGCTGTAGACTCACTACTTTACATTGTAGCCAAGTGTCATTTCGTCAGTGTTGTCACATGAAAAGATATACTTAAATATTTACAAAATGTGAGGGGGTGTACTCACTTCTGTAATATACTGTATATAGGCTTAACCATAAACCACCACCAACCATCAGTCACCACTTGTATTTGTGCCAAATTATTAGCAAATAGAGTCTAAATGTAAGAAAATGAAAGAAAGTCTGCATAGATGCTAAAAAACAGACAGTTACATGTACGTTTTGGTGACACTCAGCAAAACCTGGCACAGCTTCACAACCACAGAAGCAGAAGTGTGATTAAAAGAGGAAAGAGGTGATGCCAGCACTGTAGGCAAAGAAGGCTCAGACTATAAATATTAGTAACATAAACAAAAAGAAAGCCTGACTACACAAACAGCTCAGAAGAGGAACTGATTTATAGGAACACACAACTTTTACAAAGCAACCCAGTTGCACTAAGTAACATGAGAAAAGATTATCAGACTACCTTGTGTGTTAGGCGAGCTCCTCAGCAGATGATCCCTCTGAAGCCTCAGAGCAGTGGAGCAGTACACAGAAACCAAAGCATGACACCGAGGGCGAAGCAGCGAGTTCAGGATCCTCTCCTCTGTCAGGGGTCCATGCCTGGCTGCCCACAGCACCTCACACAGTGCCTCAAACTGCCCACCACTACTACCAGAGCTCCATGGCATCACAGCCAACACAGCATATATCTCCTCCACCCACTCCTCTACCTTCTCCTGCTTCCTCTCTGGCTTTCTGAGTTTATTCATCAGGTGTTGGACAAACGGCCGCTGCAGAGAATGGCCATCTGTCCATGACTGGTCCTGTAGGAGATGATAAAATAAGAACATGCTTGCAATCTACATTTGCATTTGTGCAGAGTGCTTTTTTTTTTGTTTGTTTAAATAACTCTGAGCTGCTTTATTGCTACAATAAGTTTCACTCTACCTGTAAGAACTGAGCTAAACACTGGGCCAGTCTGGGCTTCTTCTCCAATAAGGTTCTGAGGCATGACTCAACAGCAGCATCTGTTGACCTTGAACCTGCTGCAGGCTTTTGGTTAGACTGCGTATCCAAGAAGGCCTGGTGCAGATCCTGTGGGAAGATCACTGATCTCAGTCCTGTAAATCTGTCTACTAGCAAGTCGGTCACAACATGCAGTATTACAGAACAGATTAAGTTAATCTTAGTACGTTTAACCTGAGTGACACTGTAATCAGGTTAGTGTGTCAGTCTAATTAAAACACATTGTTTTCTAGTTTATATTCCTTTAAACTGTAGGTTTGAGTGCTGACAGGAGTAAAACTAATATTAACCTTGAGAACAGTGTCTGGTATGCTCTCTGAGCCCAGTTCCTCCAGGAGCAACAGGAACTCCAGCTCTCTTCTGACACTGGGAGAAATCTGAAACAAAGTGGGGGGAAAAGACAAGAGCTACAACAACATGCCATGCAGTTGGTGGTGATTGTGGTGCTTCATCACACAACATTTTCTGTTTTGCAAAAGGACACTGACATTTTTGAGACTGTCTTCTGTTTCCAAGAAAGATTTGACCAATTTGTGTTTGTTGCAAATACCAATATCCTGCTTGAGGATGACAAAACTAAACATGTTGTTTCAGAGCAAATCAAGCAGGTACAATAAACAATACTTGAGCAGGTAATACTACGCATCATATTACCTGCTCTTCTGTCCATTTCAACAGAACCTGAAGCCAAAACCATGCCAGCTTGTGTGGACTCCCCACAGACTCCCATCTATAAAATAAACACAGTCATTAAATCAACTGCACAAATAACACACACGTACAGTAAACAGAAGTGTGAGGTTTTGGGATGACAGTTATTAAACCAGATAACACTGCATTACACTTGATTTCTCCAACAATTCATATTCTTACATTGAAAGAAAAACCTCAACTCACTTTAAATTGTAAGGATGGCAGACAATAGCTTTGATTAAGTCTTGCAGGTTTTCTGAAAGCCCTCCTGTTGAAGTGATGAGCTGCGGCACACAGGCACTGGCCAGCTCCCACTCTCCATGCTGCAGGCACCTCTTGAAGTACTCAAACAGGTCCTGAAGTGAGGTCTCTGCCTCACAGCCAAAAGGATGCATGGCCACTTACACTGTGACACTCCTTTGCTAGGTGGTCACAGCTGGCGAGGCACTTTTACTAACATGTAGCCAGACAGCACACTTGAGCTTCCTTCACCTGAAACAAAAAGAAAAAGCTGTCTGAGCTTATATCGTTTAACAAAACTAGGTCATTTTAAACAAACAGGATATAGTGACTCAAATTATTTGAAATGAAATTTTACTTTTAAAATCTAGACACAGCACATGATACTGGTGCAACTTCACCCACTGTCAAGGTACACAAACACATGAAACACAAACTGGAAAGCAGAAAGCCTCTCAACATTTGCAGTGTTCCGAGCAACTTTAATGCAAAGATAAAAGACCTAACGGGTTTTGGCATAAAGACCTTGTCAGGACACTCCTTCATGTTCAACGTAGCAGGCTTTGTAAATTTGTCACACGATGACCACAGACGATGAATTTATTTTAATTGTCACGGTCTCTCATTTTCTTGTTACATGCTAAACGTTTCTGCCATCTGTACCTTTTACAAGCCAGCCCAGACAAACCACGCACGCTGAATTAGGAACATAAAACAAAACAGTCGTGTGAGCTGTTGGGTTCCATCAAAAACGCATCTCAATACCTGCCTTTGAAACACTAATGTTTTCATCTTCTCTTCTCTAAGTAGACAGGACACGCCTGTAATGTCAACTTAGCGTTAGCATTGGCTGCAGTGTTGCTGACTTGCTGTAATGAAACGTTAACTTAGTTAGCTAACTTTTGTAACAGTTAGCAGACGCGTATCCTAACTCACAAATAAAACAATTAAATGTTAGCGAGAATTCAGTAAACTTACTTACTCATATCTTTGTGCTTTTACCCCGAGTTTAGTTGTTAATTTTACTCCTAGCTACTGCTTTCTGTTGATAACTTACGGTGCACAGCTAGGAGCATGTTAACCGTCATGTGACAAAATCAGCTGATTCTCCAACGCTGATTGGTCAAAGGTTGGCACGAGGAGGGCGTTCCAGAAAGATGATGCCTTAATGTGCTGTCGGAAATATAATATTCACACACGTTAATAAAAGAATAAACTACGAGCTGTCCAAATATCTCATTAACGTTTACCAAGATATTTAAGGTACAATTGGAGGTTCTTGTACTTTACATGACTATTTCCACTATATGTTTCTTTGTACATCTATTTTAGGCTACTACATTTCATCAAAAATATTGTAGCGATTACTTTATTGCGTTAATTTGATAGGTAAGCTAGCTAGCTATTTTTAAAGTCAGGATTTTATATAGGATACAAACCATATGACCAGCCTGTTAAATATAACGTATTGTTATGCTATAAACATTATTTAATAATAGTAGCTGAATTTAGTTACACATCAAACAGCTACAACAATGAAATTTTTGTCTACACTTGAATGCATTCGTAATGATAATCCAACAATAGTAATGCACTGACACGATCCATTATGTTGCCGAATGAATACTTTAAGTATATTTTGCTGATAGGCTTTCAGTGTCAAGAAGCAGATCTAATGCATATACTGAAACCTAGCAGCAGAGAATCATAGGCCTATAGACGGTTGTGTGCAGAAGATGTTTATGCATGGGTGGATTTAGATGAAGGTTGCAGCAAAGGCTGCCGGGGTGAACCCACGCTTTCCGACATTATTCCCCCAAAAGAGCCTTTATCTAAATGATTAGAAGTGAACTGACATGTGTCTGTACAGGCTGTAAAAGACTCCCCCTCTTTCCTTCTGCCTGTCTCCCACCATCATCACTGACAATTTGGGAGCCTGTCTCTATAGCAACGTAGTACAGGCCG